ATCCAATCTCTTCTTCTTCTTCTTTTACCTCACAGGGTGTCTGTTGTGGGGAGGGGAAGGGAAAGGAGTTTGTAAGCCACTCTGAGACACCTTTGGGTAGTGAAGGGCGGGATATAAATCCAATCTCTTCTTCTTCTTCTTTTACCTCACAGGGGGTCTGTTGTGGGGAGGGGAAGGGAAAGGAGTCTGTAAGCCACTCTGAGACACCTTTGGGTAGTGAAGGGCGGGGTGTGAATCCAATCTCTTCTTCTTATCCTCTTCTTCTCCTGCCAGTTCATAGGGAATTGCTGCTACCATTTCCTAAACCGGCAGGAAGAAAGTGGATTCATTTGAAATCTGGCATTGAGGGAGAGTTTTACGAATACCGTGGACCGCCAAAAAAGACAAATCAGCGTGTTCGAGACCCAATCAGACCCAGCAAAAGTTCAGATTAGCCATAAGATAAAATACTGAGTAAAGTATAGTTAACAAGATCATCAAGATTTTTACCAGGGATCCTTCTAGTTCATAGTTTAACCGTTACATATAACGGTTACAACTCTTATCTCCCTGTATTGTATGCCCTCCTGTCGTTTTCGAGTTTGTGGTATTTCTTTTTCTGCATTCAACTGTACTATTAAGTAAAAGAATAAAAATAATATTAAAAAACAAAGCAAAGCTATGCACATCTGGGAACCATGATTACACACACATAGATCCAGTGCCTCAACCGCAAGGGGCAAGGGTCCGATTCTGACACCTGCACAGGATTTCCACCAGTCAGAGGGCCTCTCACTCCCCATGGCACGGAGCAGTTAGAGTACAGATTATCCCTTTGTGCACATTGGAGACTTGGCCTGGTGCAGAACGGAGCCTCTCGAGGGAGAGACAGCCCTGCCCGCCTCTGTTCAGCCTGCAGGGGGCACCACGTGCTCACCTCTTTCATCTCTCCCCGCAGAGATCCCGTTCTCCGCAGAAGGGAGGCACCCCAGGTCCTCGATAGGGAAGAACTTCCGGGCCTACCTCCTGGACCTGCGCAACTCCAGCACCCCCTTCAAAGGCGTCCGTAAGACTTTGATTGACGCTCTCCTGGACGGGTACGACAGCGCCCGCTACGGGACAGGGGTGAGTGTGTTCTCTGCAGGTCATCGCGGGGAGTGGGGATTTCCAACCCTGCGTGGGCTGAGAGCCAGTTTGGTGTAGTGGTTCAGAGCGCGGACTCTAATCTGGGAGAACCGGTTTTGATTCCCCACTCCTCCACCTGCAGCTGCTGGTGTGACCTTGGGTCCGTTACAAGTTCTCTCGGAGCTGTTCTCTCAAGGGTAGTAGTCCTTGAAGGAGCTCTCTCAGCCCCACCTGCCTCACAGGGTGTCTGTTGTGGGGAGGGGAAGGGGACTGTAAGCCGCTCTGAGGCTCCTTCGGGTAGTGAAGGGCAGGGTATAAATCCAATCTCTTCTCGTCTTCATTTTATTAGAACGAGAGTCCATTGTTTCCGTTGTAGCACCTGAGACAGCTCCCGCAGCTACTGTTGGACCAAATCATTACAGTCCAGTACAAAATCGGTGTGTGTGTCATTAAAATGCTGTCAAGCAGCAGCCAAGTTTCGTCGATCCAATATAATTTTCGAGGCAGGAGAGTAGCAGAGGTGGATTGACATTGCCTGCCTCTACCTAGCGACCCTAGACTTCCTTGGTAGTCTCCCATCGAAGAGCCAGTTGGGCGTCGTGGTTAGGAGCGCGGACTCTACTCTGGGAGAACCGGGTTTGATTCCCCACTCCTCCACGTGCAGCCAGCTGGGTGACCTTGGGTCAGTCACAAGTTCCTTCACAACTGTTCTCTCAAGGTCAGTTCTCTCAGAGCTCCACCTACCTCACAAGGGTGTCTGTTGTGGGGGGGAAGGAGATCGTAAGCCTCTCTGAGACTCTGAGTGAAGGGCGGGGTATAAATCCAGTCTCCTCTTCTCTCTCTTCTAACAAGGGCTGACCCTGCTTGGCTCCCGAGATCTCGGAAGCTAAGCAGGACTAGCCGTGGTGACTATTTGGAAGGGAAACCACCAAGGAAGGCAGGTGACGGCAAACCACCTCTGATCGTCTCTTGCCTTGGAAAAAAAAAAAACCCTTAACTTAAGTCAGCTGTGACTTGATGGCAGAACAGAAACAAAAACAAAATGAGGCCCAGTGTAAGAAAGGCCACACGGGAGGTGATCCTTCAAGAAGACGTAGAGAGCTACATTTGGTCTCTCCCTTGGCAGCTGCCTGTGAAACTTCCTTCCAGCTGGAGAGCACAGCAGGCTGGCTTTTTTGAAGCCTTTCCTCGGATGCACTGACTGTCGGGGGCTTTCCACAGCAGCAGCTGTCTTGGCCAGGGCCGTTCCTCTCGCTGCTTACTCATAGCTTTTTTTTTGCCATCTGCAGTGATCTCTGGAGGTTTTTTTTTTTGCAGAAAGTCTGAAGCAGCCACTAACCAGCAAGGAGTAAGTTCCACTGTGGCATGTCTGCTGAAGACTGTAAACATGTCTAGGGCATAATCTTTATTTGTCTATTATTTATTAGATTTTTGCCCCGCCCTCCCCACCAGGGCAGGCTCAGGGCGGCAATCGTAGGCAATCACATTTTTTACAAAAATCTTGCCCTTTCCCCAAGAGGTTCAGGATAGAGTTAAGAACATCATGAGAGCCCTGCTGGAACAGACCAGTGGGGGTCCCTCTAGTCCAGCATCCCGTCTCACACAGTGGCCTCAACCAGTTCCTCTGGAGGTCCAGCAACATGGCACAGAGGCCAAGGTCTACATAAGGACATAAGAAGAGCCCTGCTGGATCAGACCAGTGAGGGTCCATCTAGTCCAGCCTCCTGTCTCACACAGGGGCCTCAACCAGTTCCTCTGGAGGTCCAGCAACATGGCACAGAGGCCAAGGTCTACATAAGGACATAAGAAGAGCCCTGCTGGATCAGACCAGTGAGGGTCCATCTAGTCCAGCCTCCTGTCTCACACAGGGGCCTCAACCAGTTCCTCTGGAGGTCCAGCAACATGGCACAGAGGCCAAGGTCTACATAAGGACATAAGAAGAGCCCTGCTGGATCAGACCAGTGAGGGTCCATCTAGTCCAGCCTCCTGTCTCACACAGGGGCCTCAACCAGTTCCTCTGGAGGTCCAGCAACATGGCACAGAGGCCAAGGTCTACATAAGGACATAAGAAGAGCCCTGCTGGATCAGACCAGTGAGGGTCCATCTAGTCCAGCCTCCTGTCTCACACAGGGGCCTCAACCAGTTCCTCTGGAGGTCCAGCAACATGGCACAGAGGCCAAGGTCTACATAAGGACATAAGAAGAGCCCTGCTGGATCAGACCAGTGAGGGTCCATCTAGTCCAGCCTCCTGTCTCACACAGGGGCCTCAACCAGTTCCTCTGGAGGTCCAGCAACATGGCACAGAGGCCAAGGTCTACATAAGGACATAAGAAGAGCCCTGCTGGATCAGACCCAATACTAGTGGTCCATGTAGTCGAGCTTCTTGTCTCACACAGTGGCCAACCAGTTCCTTTGAGGGCCAACAACAGGGCAGAGAGGCTGAGGACTTCCCATGGTGTTGCCTGCTGGTACTGGTATTCAGAGGTTCACAAACTCTGAATGTGCTCTTTAGTCCCGATGCCTAGTATCCTCTGATAGACCTATTCTCCATGAATCTCTCTTAAAGGTTCCCTTGCTCGAAAGCCAGTCGAATCCGACTCTAGGGTTATGGTGCTCATCTCCGTTTCAAAGCCAAAGAGCCAGCGCTGTCCGAAGACATTTCCGTGGTCATGTGGCCGGCATGACTAAACACCAAGGCGCACAGAACGCTGTTGCCTTCCCACTGAAGTGGCACCTATTTATCTACTTGCAATTTCTTGCTTTCGAACTGCTAGGTTGGCAGGAGGAATCTCTCTTATACCCTTTTAAAACCCATCTGTGCCACTTTGGTGTAGTGGTTAAGGGCATAGACTCTAATTTGGGAGAACTGGGTTTGATTCCCCACTCCTCCATATGCAGCTGCTGGTGTGACCTTGGGTCAGTCACAGGTTCTCTCACAGCTGTGCTCTCAAGGGCAGTCCTCGAAAGAGCTCCCTCAGCCCCACCTACCTCACAGGGAGGGGAGGGGAAGGGGAAGGAGATTGTGAGCCGCTCTGAGACTCCTTCAGGTAGTGAAGGGCAGGGTATAAATCCAATCTCCTCTTCTTCGGTCATAAGTTCTCTCAGAGCTGTTCTCTCAGGAGCAGTCCTCGAAAGAGCTCCCTCAGTCCCACCTACCTCACAGGGTGTCTGTTGTGGGGAGGGGAAGGGAAAGGGGATTGTGAGCCACTCTGAGACTCCTTTGGGTAGTGAAGGGCGGGGTATAAATCCAACCTCTTCTTCTTCTTCTTAAAAGGACCCCCAGTTTTATCCTTACCACAGTCCTGTCAGGGTAAGGTCAACTGAGAGGCAGTTGGTGAGGTGAAGTGGGAAAGCGAGGGTCAAAACAAGACCAAACTGTTACCACTTAGACAACATCCATAAAATGGACTGAAACCGGGCTTCTCATCTTGTAGTGGCACGATCTGCTTCTGTTAACACCATCAGTTTTCTAGATTCAGAGAATCATAAGAACATAAGAGAAGCCATGTTGGATCAGGCCCATGGCCCATGCAGTCCAACACTGTCACACAGTGGCCAAAACTCATCAGGAGGTCCACCAGTGGGAACAGAACTCCAGAAACCTTCCCACTCTCCCCCCCCCCAGCACCAAGGACATAAGAGAAGCCATGTTGGATCAGACCCATCCAGTCCAGTACTGTGTGTCATACAGTGGCCAAAACCCAGGGGCCATCAGGAGGGCCACCAGTGGGGCTATAACTCCAGGAGCCCTTCCACTGTTACCCCCCAAGCACCAAGAACATAAGAGATGCCAATGTTGGATCAGGCCAAAGGCCCATCCAGTCCAACACTCTGTGTCACACAGTGGCCAAAAATACCAGGTGCCATCAGGAGGTCCACCAGTAGGGCCAGGACACTAGAAGCCCTCCTACTGTTGCCCCTCCCAAGCACCAAGACTACAGAGCATCACTACTTGAGACAGAGTGTCCCCTCTATACATCGTGGCTAATAGCCACTAATGGACCTCCACTCTTCGAGGGGCCTGATGCTGTTGCTGTAGAAGCAAGAGGACTGTCTCCTTGTCCCCTTTAAGATGAGGTGGTTTCCTTTTGTTTAATACGAGGGTTTGGGTGGGTGCGATAGGGAAACTGAGACACACTGCCGGCTCTCCTAACTCCCGCTTCTCTTTTGCACCCTAGACTTTCGGCAGGGCGGAGTACGTCAAGTACCAAGAAACGTTGCATGAACTGGCAGCAATGTGAGTTGCAGGGGCAGAGCTGTGGAGGGTGGTCAGCGATGGAGACTAGAAAGGGGTCTCCCCCTCCCGTCATCCTACTCTTGCAAAGCAGGATACCAAGGGGAGGGGGGCTGTGGAGGCAGAAGGCCAGTCCAAAATGCCTGTGTGATGGGCACAGTACAAAATGGATGGTGACCCTTTGAATGAGTAGCGCAAGAGTCCAATAAGCTTCTGAAAGACTAACCAAATTGCTGGCTGGGTGAGAACTTCCGTGAGTCACCGCTCACTTCTTCAGATAGATCAAGATGGGTAGGCGTGTCAGTCTGTCTGCCTGCAGCAGAAAACAGCAAGAGTCCAGCAGCATCTTAAAGACTTAACAAAATTTGTGGCAGGGTCAATGCTCCCTCTAAGCTGCAGAGTCTTGTGAGCAAAAATTCCACTTTGTGAGCTACTGGCATTAAAGCTGTGAGCGAGCGATTTGGCTGCTGCATCAATTAGTTTGCTCTGGAGCCATCGTTCCCGAGCTGAGAGGAGAATGTGTGAGTCGTAGGCTAAAAAACTGTGAGCTGGCTCACACTAACTCAGTTTAGAGGGAACACTGGGCAGGGTAGGAGCTTTCGTGAGTTACTGCTCACTTCTTCAGGTAGATCAAAATCGGTAGCCATGTTAGTCTGTCTGTAGCACTAGAAAAGAGCAAGAGTCCAGCAGCACCTTAAAGAGACTAACAGAGTAGGAACTTTCATGAGTCACTGCTCACTTCTTCAGGTAGAGGAAGATGGTTTGCCATGTTAGTCCGTCTGCCGCAGTAGAAAAGAGCAAGAGTCCAGCAGCACCTTCAAGACTAACAAAATTTGTGGCAGGGGAGGAGCTTTCGTGAGTCACTGAAGAAGTGAGCAGAAGTCGATAAAGTTAATGAGAAGCACCAACTTTAAGGAAAATATATACAAGATCTACCATAGATGGTACTGGTCACCGGATAAGATAGCCAAGTGTAATCCAGCATTCCCAAAGAACTGCTGGAAGTGTAATAATAATGTGGGTACCTTCATTCATATGTGGTGGAGGTGTCCAAAGATACAGGGTTTTTGGAAAATGATACAGAAAATAATTCTAAAAATAACGAATATTAAAACTGAGCTATTTCCGGAAACGGTGTTGTTAAATATGCTACCGGAGAGTTACAGATGGAAAGATAAATATATGATAATTATAATACTTACAACTGCTAGAATTTTACAAGCTAAATTTTGGAAACAGGAATACATCCCGAAGAAAGAGGATTTAGTGTGTAGACTATTAGAGATGGCAGAGATGGATAAGTGAAGTGTAATCCTTCAAGGAAAGGATGAAAAAAATGTTTGGGGAAAGATGGAAGCGTTTCTATGAATGGATAGAACAAAGTGGATAAGACTTCAAGAGGATTATGATGATGTATGTGGTTAAGACGCTGAACTGCAGGCTGTGGAAGGTCAGTAGTTCAGCAGTTAAAGACCTGGGCTGAGCTCCCGTCTCTAGTTCCAGCTCCTGCCAACCTAGCAGTTCGAAAGCAAGAAATTGCAAGTAGATAAATAGGTACCACATCGGTGGGAAGGTAACAGCGTTCTGTGCGCCTCGGCGTCTAGTCATGCCGGCCACATCTTCGGACAGCGCTGGCTCTTCGGCTTTGAAATGGAGATAAGCACCGCAACCCTAGAGTCGGATTCGACTGGCTTTCGAGCAAGGGAAACCTTTACCTTTACCTATGTGTTATATGTATTTTATGGAAAATCAAAATAAATGATTAAAGAAGTGAGCAGTGGTTCACGAAACCTCCTCCCCTGCCACAAATGTCGTTAGTCTTGAAGGTGCTGATGGACTCTGGCTCTTATCTATATAAGTGAATGGCCACCAAAACGTCCTGGTGTTCACAGCCTCGCTCAGGTCCTCCAAACTGAGGGTCACGGCTTCCTCGATTGAGTCCATCCATCTCATGTTGGGTCTTCCTCTTTTCCTGCCTCCTCCAACTTTTCCTAACTTTATTGTCTTTTCCAGTGACGCTGGTCTTCTCGCTGTGTGCTCCTGAGGGGGGAAAAACGAGTGCTTCTCTCCCCCAACCCTGCCCCAATCTATCAAAAAGCTTGGTATAAAATAACCCAGTACTGTCTTAAGAACCTGTGTAGAAGGGGTCAAGATCCAGAGAGAACTCTGCAGCTAATGCCACGTGCTGCCAAGGGGTTTTGACGTGTGATTGATGAGAAGAAGAGAAAGAGGAGGAGGAGATTGGATTTATACCCCACCCTTCACTCAGAGTCTCAGAGCAGCTTACAAACTCCTTTCCCTTCCCCTCCCCACAACAGACATCCTGTGAGGTAGGCGGTGCTGAGAGAGCTCTTGACAGAACTCTCCTTGAGAGAACAGCTCTGGCAGAACTGTGGCTTGTCCAAGGTCATCCAGCAGGTGCAAGTGGAGGAGTGGGGAATCAAACCCGGTTCTGCCAGTTCAGAGTCCGCACACTTAACCACTACACCAAACTGGCTCTCCACTACAACAGACTGGCTGAGCACAAACTGGAGAGCCCAAACTGGAGAGCCAGTTTGGTGTAGTGGTTTGGAGCGCGGACTCTAATCTGGAAGAACCGGGTTTGCAGCTGCTGGTGTGACCTTGGGCCAGTCACAAGTTCT